AAGAGCGGACTATCGCTCCGCACAAACACTTTGCGGGCGCCTCGTTCTACCCCTCGTCTCAAACCGCCAGAAATATCCACGCAGTGCCCACGGTTTTTGGGCAACTGCCCTTTCCCAGCATTTTTAGAGCGCCCCCCCCCACGCAGACCCATCAACCACCACGGTTCTGTGTGCCTATTTATTTAATGCTTAATTTTTTTTGGCAGTGAAATAAGCACGTGACATTGGCCACGGCTTGGGAAATGTTTCTCTAAATGGCAGTCCCGACGGAGCTGCTTTCATTTCACGACCTGCGTTACGACATTGCCACAGATGCGGTTTTTGGGACACGACAAAACAAAATGGATGAAACTCAAGTTTTGTTGTTTTCAAACTAACGCGAGAAAGGCAGACGTAGTGAAACAATTATTTCACCATCACCATAAATCTATTCTGAATACAACCTTTTTTTGCTTCCCACGAAGTTGTATTTGTTTCATCCACCGTGTAAAGAGGATTGGAAAAAAAATCGATCGCAACAGCCACAAAGTCGGTCGGCGCTTTTGCTTACTCAGATGAGTATCGGTTGATGATGATCTCTGTGGTGGTGAGCCTATGGTGGAAATTACATAATCCCAAGGCAGGAACAGCATATCCATAGAACTATAGCTTGACTTTTGTCAATGACAAGAGAGGTGATGGAAAAAAAATATCCCGTCACCCACTTGCATGATAATGAAAATGTTGTCTCTACTGTATGTATCCTGGAGGAAAAAAAAACATCTTGAGCTTCAACAATTATCTTAATGAGCATCCTGCATTGGAATGTTTGGCCAATTTTAGTTAAAATAAGGCGCATTTATCAATTAACTATGAGGCTCTGGGATAATACACATTGAAGGGAGCTCCACCTCTGCGTGTGGACCGGCAGAGAGGAGGAGACAGTGTTGTGAGTTGTGTAGCAGCTCTGGGCTGTAACCCAGCATTCGTTTAACAAGTCTCACTCTGCTGATGAGACCCAGAATGTCAATATCAGTCCGGCGTTTACTCTGTAAAACAATTGCCACTTGATAATATTGCTCTGCAAAGTCAAAGCTCTGTAAAGACTGATGGACTGAACAGACCTTGTTTATGTAACGCGTGTTGACAACACAGACGCGTCTGCGTATGTATGCTCGAACCAATATAACCCATGGGCTAATCCGGCTTTGCAAACAAGGCTACCCAGAGGTCAGACAAGGTCAGCCTTGGTACGGATCGCGTACACACCGGAGACACCCAGACCGTGGTTAAGACGGAGACGCTACATTCTGGAGACTGACGTCAAATATAATTACGTGGCTATATACTGTATATACACTGTGCTGCGTTTGTAAGCACATTCCGTACTGTAATAACCAACCGTTTGTCGATGGCGAATTCTACGACGAGAACTTCGGTGGTCTTTGGTCACCTTATTCTAGCTCCTGGGGGGAGGGGGTTTCGATGTTTTGCGCCTCCCCCGTCGACCCCACTGATGTCCTCTTCCCCTCCCCCCCCCCCATTTGTGCAGATACTACTGACTCTATTGCATATAGGATGTTGTGTAGGTATATATGCCTAGAAAATACATTTTTTTGGGTGGGGGGGGGGGAGTGCCATTGTTTGGGGAGGGGTCGACAATTTTTGTAAACCTGTTGGCCGGCGAGAGCGAGAAGAAGGCGCGATGCGTGACTCTCGCGCTCCCCCCGGCCCACGTGCGTCAGCGCCCTTCGGCGTCCCATCGCTGCGGCTTCATTTACGGAAAAACAAAAAGCACGCGGGGACACCGGGGACGTCCGCCCATTGTTTGCCGAGCCCGGTATGAAGTAGAAGAAGGGCCGACGGCCTTTAGGGGGGGAGAGAGGGGGGGGGGAGCAAGAGGCGTCCACGTCTCCACGCCGCGAATACGCAGCGTAGAATTGCGCGCGTGCAGCGCGGATCCTCGTCCAAGAGGCTCCGCGACAGCCGGGGCCCTACGGTTCGCATGGGGTGCTCTTGCCAGCAGTCATCTTAATGACGCAGCGGCGTTTGTTTGACAAACCGGACTGCTGACGAGAGCCCCGTACCGAGGTCAGAGCCGGCCGAGCGTTTGCTTGCGAAAACAACTGCTGCCGCCGCCGCTGGCTAAAGTTGGTCTGGATTTTTTTAAGTTACTTTAATTATATGTGATGATGATGATCGAGAATAATCACGTGGTGGCAGCCAAGCAGTGGAACGCTTGAGAGAGTACACCCACTGGGGTGATGGAGCGATGTAATCAGCTCGGCTGCAGGTGCCAGATCGATTTGCTACGTCGCGAGATCGTGAGGGGTGGCGGCGGCTTTGGGAGGGCCTTCATCCAGCAGTGGATTTTGCACGGCTGATGACGACGACGATGATAACGTGAAGACACCGGAATGGAATTGTCCTCACATATTGTCTGTACGGCACTAGATCCGTGGAGAAGCGGTGTGCGATGGCTCACGCTAGTGGAGTCTTCCACCTTCATCGTGTGCGAGCGGAATTAAAGGTCGCGCAGATGACACTGCCAAATGCCCTCAGCACCAACAAGCCATCCCTTCAAGTCTAAATAATAACAACAACAAAACACGGAACAAATGTTCAGGATTGTATCATTGGTAGTAGGAGGGCTCGTGGGGAAGCTGAACACGATCAATAAGAACGGCATGCCGATGACGAAGCTACCATGAAATCGCAGAATGAATGTGGAGCACATGCGGTCGGCGCCCTCGGTCAGCATCGGCTCACGTCTGTAACGGTGGTCCAATTGAAATCAGAATAAAAAAATGCATTTATACGGGAGGAATCCGATGAGCTATAAACCTCTTTTTCACAGTTGTCCAGCAGGGGCACGGGGTCAGAACATTTCAACAACAAACAAAGCCAGCGGCAGCAGCGGCCTGATGGTTCCATCGGCCAAAGCTCGGCAGCCTCAAGCCCGCTCGCCCGTCCACCCTCAGCGCGCCAACGTTTCCTGATTGAAGCAACAACGGGCGCGCTTCATCGATTGCGGACGATAAATTGGTCGTCGGTATCAGGGCACGTCGACCCGTCGCGAGCGTCCTCAATTACCGTTGAGCAGGCACGCGGGCGCGCTTTGAAAAAAAAAACGTGGACGTTAAACAAATCAAATGAGCACCAAGGCGGTGGTGCTTCGCCTCCAGTGTGCAGAGGAAGCTCGAGGGCTGAGCTGAGGACTCGGGGGGGGGGGGGGGCTTTCTGTCACTTCCTGTCACTTGAAGCCACGGGGTGAGCAGGTCACAACGACTTTTCAATTTGAGTCTCTCGTTAACGTTATGCTGATGGGGCATTAGCAAGGCTTGTTTTCGAGCAGATGTGGGAAAGTACGTGTGGTTGTGGTTGTTGTTGGCCTCCCCCAATTTATTTCATTCACTCCTTGCCACAGTTGCTCCAAGTCCGTTGGTGGCCTCTGAACTTATTTTTTTAAATGAGCCCTGTGAAAGGAGATTGAACTTTGAGGACCGCCCCTCGTCGATTTAACACCCCCCCCCCCCAGCAGGGATTTTAAACTCCCAACCCTTGAGATTGCGAGTCTGGGTGCCTTGTGGCACAGCTTCGTGTCACTGCATCGTACAGGCGATGTTGCTCTCCTTCGTAAGACGTCCTCTCCCGGGAGAAGGTGCCGTGACTCAAGCTCCCCCCGTCCCATCCAATCCCACTTAACGTCACGTCGCCACGCTCAGGAACTAGGGCTCTTTAGGCGTAACTGGGAAAGGATTGGTTGAGGGGGGTGGCTTTCCTTTGATTTTGTCTTTTTAGGTCGCGGATTGCAGCTTAATGTCACACCCAGGATGATGTGGATGCTCAAAACACATTCAGATAAATAAATATATCGGAGAACACCTGCTATTTCTCCACCGCGCAGGTGATGTAAAAACAGCAGAGCTTTTAAAAAGCACAGCTGCGTCCGTTGTTGTTGCTGTTGTTGCTGCTGCTGCTGCGTTTTAACTGATCGTTTCTTCCCGGTCGTGAATCCGAGCACAGATGAAAGTTTCACAGCGGGGGTGAGGGGGGAGATGGAGTGATCTATGATGATGATGTGAGCTGAATGCTGACCCGTGAGAAGGGGAGGCCTCCTGTTTTCATATTTACCAGTTAAGAACATTAACGTTAAAAAACGTCATTTACGGCCCATTGTCAATCCACTGCTGGACGAAGATTTCTCCACGCTGCGTGGGTCACGCGCGCAGGTCACCTGACCATAATTCACCACGCTGCGCAGGTCACCTGACCATAATTCACGACGCTGTGCGGGTCACCTGACCATAATTCACCACGCTGTGCGGGTCACCTGACCATAATTCACCACGCTGCGCGGGTCACCTGACCATAATTCACCACACTGTGCGGGTCACCTGACCATAATTCACCACGCTGCGCGGGTCACCTGACCATAATTCACCACGCTGTGCGGGTCACCTGACCATAATTCACCACGCTGCGCGGGTCACCTGACCATAATTCACCACGCTGTGTGGGTTACCTGACCATAATTCACCACACTGTGTGGGTCACCTGACCATAATTCACCACGCTGTGCGGGTTACCTGACCATAATTCACCACGCTGTGCGGGTCACCTGACCATAATTCACTACGCTGTGCGGGTCACCTGACCATAATTCACCACGCTGTGCGGGTCACCTGACCATAATTCACCACGCTGTGCGGGTTACCTGACCATAATTCACCACGCTGCGCGGATTACCTGACCATAATTCACCACGCTGCGCGGGTTACCTGACCATAATTCACCACGCTGCGCGGGTTACCTGACCATAATTCACCACGCTGCGCGGGTTACCTGACCATAATTCACCACGCTGTTTCAGCGGAGGTCGATCAACGGAGCGCCCAAGGCCGGTTCAGACAAATACGCTCACCGCCGCCGGTTGTTTGCCGTGGCCGGGAATCGAACTGATGAGAGCAGTGCGCTAACCGCTTTGCCGCCCCCCTCCCCCACCTCCCGGCTTGACCCAGGAGAGAAATGCCACGATGGCTTCTGCGCTAACGGTGGAACCTGCTTCCTGGAGAGCGGCAAAGACGGCACCAACCTCAAGTGCCACTGCACTCCCGAGTTCATAGGCCGCCAGTGCGAAGAGCGGCTGCCAGGTGAGATTCCGAGTCGCGTCCCCCCCCCCCCCTCCTTTTGACACGGCGAAGCAAATGCTGATTATGCCGATGACGCAGAGCGTTTATATGAACCCGGGGGCACCGCGCGAACCGTCGGGCTCGAGACAGCTTCGGGAGCCATTTAGTTGCGAGATATTTTTTGAGCTGTCGTTAGAGACGAGAGCTGTTAACGGCGTCGAAGGCAATTGGCGAAGAGCGCCCATCAACCCGAAAAACTAAACTTTTTTTTTTTACCAGGTAAAGCCCACTGAGCTATAGCAGTCCTTTTAAGAAGCGACCTGGCCACAAATAATAGCTCAGCGAAGTGGCTTAGCACATGTACATCTATAGCAAATATTCTAAACACACGATGTTGATTCTAAACGTGGAGGGAAAAAATCGGAAGACTCGAAGAAAAATCCACGTGACCGCGGGGAGACAGAGAGACGCAAACTCCAAATATACAGGCATCGTCAGGGTCGGGATCGAATCCACGACCTCCTGTATACCAGGCGAGGTAGTTAACATCTCCTAGCCACCATGGCACCCACAGTGATGCGTCCAAGGTGCCCTTGCCGATGGGTGGAGGCAGCGTTCTTGATCAGTTTTAAGAAGGTTGCCTCCTCCCACAGGAAAAACCACGCACCAAATCAATCGGCCAAGTATTTTTGAAAGAGAACGCCGATATTCAGCGAGCCTTCTTTTTAACATGAATAAAATGTAGACCCTATGTACGTAAAATAATTAAGGACTGAGAAGAGAGGGGGGATTTTTTTTATTCATGAACAAAAAAATCTACGGAACATTTAATAAAGGCAAGAAACGTGCGGTTAAAAACCGGCTGCCATGTCACAAGCCTACACGCTCGTACGACTAGTGCCCCCGTTAAAATAACTACACATAAAATGCACGAACAATGGAGGCCTTTTGTTCTGTTCGGTGTGAATCGCGCTGTGAAACAAACTTCTCCTGTTAGGGATTAATAAAGCGTCAGCTTGCAGCAGACTTGGCGAACAAACGAGCGCTCAATATGTTATTTTAACAACTACGCCGGCTTTCATTGATTTGAATTTTAAAGAGCAACAACCCCATGGGCCACGTTAAAGGTGAACGAGAAACGTTCACAGTTCAACTTTCCGTGGGGACATGTTTGAGTCACCCCTCTGAGCAGGATTATAAATGTGATCGTTTCGATTGCAAAGTTAAGACCTCTGCCACTTCGCCGTTCAGCGAGACACGGCACGTAAAATAAACAAATATAGAAACTAAATCTTTACAAAATGTTGTTTCATCAGAATTATCACGATTATGATATTTTACCAAAACATGCCGATGACCAAATCACCCAGAATGCACACAGTCTCATATCCCGCAAGCTAATCAGGCTTTTAAGCCTGTATAGTGCTTGAAAGGGAGATCAACAGGTTGCTATAGGGCTGCATGGGCAAAGTGGTGGGTAGACAAATCCACGGTTGTACTGTACGTCGATGTGCCCATATCCATGCTCCCTGTACTGACTGGTGTGGTGAAGTTTGATCAAACATCTCCCACGACATCCACAGCATGCGGAGACCCTTGTCCAACAGTGGATTGCCAAATCTAAAAACTCAGTGGGTTGATAAATCTAAATATATATACTCAAAACCCTTCATGTTCTAACTGTTGACATTTTACTGTAGTGATGTAGCATTTGGTCATGGATTCGGCCAGGTGGTGCTGTAGTTGGTGTGCTTTCCTCACGGTAGCAAGGGTCTAAGTTCAAATCCTGATCTGGGGGAGTTGACACAACCGTGCTAATCGCACCTCCGACCGTACGGTGAGAAAGAAGTTCAACGTACATACATGAGACTGATCGCTGGCATAGAGACACGGAATTTCCACCGACTGAAATGAGCAGAGCCCCATCGCCCTCGCAGTTTCAGTTGCGGCGGCGAGACGTTTAAATGTTTCCATCTCCGCGAGCCTTTATTTAATTTATTCATTCCTATATTTTGCATTCGAATGCAAAAAAAAAAGCAAGCAACGAAGGCTTTCGCGTAAAAGTTGCACATCAATGTTAATCCTCGTTGACAAAAGTGCCTTTCGAAGGCGCCGGTTGGAGGGGTTCCGTCTCCGTCGAAATGAGTGGACGTCCAGTCGCGAGCAGGAGCAACGGCGGTGGTGGCAGCACCGTGCACTGAGGGAGTAAATGTGGCCGTTTGGTCATAGCTTTCGGTAATTAATTCCGAACAGATGCCTCCTTTGTTGTTTAAATGCAAATGCGGCTTGGGGAGGGGGGGGGGGGAATAGCGCACGCACACGATGGCATCCCGGTCACAGCTAGCAAAAAAAAACTCCGCCACCACCTCCTTCTCCTTGAGTCGTTGCCCTTTGTACGAGAGCAGGAGGAAGTGAATACGGCGAGCTCAATTAGTGCCACATTAGCAACTGATACGGACACAGACAGGCACAGAGATAGCACGGAACACCGATGTTAGCCGAGGTCCGGGAATCGAACTCAATTTTCCGGGTACGTAGTAGCCGTATAGACTGGTTGGGGCAAGTGCTGCGAGTGAACACTCTATGAAGGCCGCCTTTGTCTCCCCACAGTGCGTACGCACGCACGCACGAACGGGAAGGTGCAGGGGAGGGGGGTTTGGAAGCGTTAACAGGAGGATACACGAAAAGAGCACATTCAATAAAGCAAAAATGTAACAGCGAAAACTATTTGAAAAGGAAAATCCACCACAACAGTAGCAGCAGCAGCACCGTTAAACCTTTGCGGTTATGCCGAGACTTATGAATGCACCGCACGGGTGCTGTAAAGGTTTGGCAGATATTGACTTTAAAAAACAATAAGTCCCCACCAATGTACTCATTAATAATTGACAGTGGAGAGGCCCAGCAGAGAGATGAACCTTAATTGGCGATATGTGGAATCAGTGGAGAGGGCTCCGTGCTGACATTTTAGACAAAAGCTGCACGTGAAAGGTAAACGGCCACACTTCACTACAAACAAACAACACACTTCACTACAAACAACACACTTCACTACAAACAGACAACACACTTCACTACAAACGGACAACACACTTCACTACAAATAACAAACTTCACTACAAACAAACAACACACTTCACTACAAACAACACACTTCACTACAAACAACACACTTCACTACAAACAACACACTTCACTACAAACAACACACTTCACTACAAACAACACACTTCACTACAAACAACACACTTCACTACAAACAACACACTTCACTACAAACAGACAACACACTTCACTACAAACAAACAACACACTTCACTACAAACAAACAACACACTTCACTACAAACAGACAACACACTTCACTACAAACAAACAACACACTTCACTACAAACAGACAACACACTTCACTACAAACAGACAACACACTTCACTACAAACAACACACTTCACTACAAACAAACAACACACTTCACTACAAACAGACAACACACTTCACTACAAACAAACAACACACTTCACTACAAACAAACAACACACTTCACTACAAACAAACAACACACTTCACTACAAACAGACAACACACTTCACTACAAACAAACAACACACTTCACTACAAACAAACAACACACTTCACTACAAACAACACACTTCACTACAAACAGACAACACACTTCACTACAAACAAACAACACACTTCACTACAAACAGACAACACACTTCACTACAAACAGACAACACACTTCACTACAAATAAACAACACACTTCACTACAAACAGACAACACACTTCACTACAAACAGACAACACACTTCACTACAAACAGACAACACACTTCACTTCAAACAGACAACACACTTCACTACAAACAGACAACACACTTCACTACAAACAGACAACACACTTCACTACAAACAGACAACATACTTCACTACAACAAACAACACACTTCACTACAAACAGACAACACACTTCACTACAAACAGACAACACACTTCACTACAAACAGACAACACACTTCACTACAAACAGACAACACACTTCACTACAAACAGACAACACACTTCACTACAAACAGACAACACACTTCACCTCAAACAGACAACACAGGTCACTACAAACAGACAACACACTTCACTACAAACAGACAACACACTTCACTACAAACAGACAACACACTTCACTACAAACAGACAACACACTTCACTACAAACAGACAACACACTTCACCTCAAACAGACAACACATGTCACTACAAACAGACAACACACTTCACTACAAACAGACAACACACTTCACTACAAACAGACAACACACTTCACTACAAACAGACAACACACTTCACTACAAACAGACAACACACTTCACTACAGACAACACACTTCACTACAAGCAGACAACACACTTCACTACAGACAACACACTTCACTACAAATAGACAACACACTTCACTACAAGCAGACAACACACTTCACTACAGACAACACACTTCACTACAAATAGACAACACACTTCACTACAAACAGACAAGACACTTCATACAAACAGACAACACACTTCACTACAAACAGACAACACACTTCACTACAACCAGACAACACACTTCACTACAAACAGACAACACACTTCACTACAAACAAACAACACACTTCACTACAAACAGACAACACACTTCACTACAAACAGACAACACACTTCACTACAAACAGACAACACACTTCACTACAGACAACACACTTCACTACAGACAACACACTTCACTACAAACAGACAACACACTTCACTACAAACAGACAACACACTTCTCTACAGACAACACACTTCACTACAAACAGACAACACACTTCACTACAAACAGACAACACACTTCACTACAAACAGACAACACACTTCACTACAAACAAACAACACACTTCACTACAAACAGACAACACACTTCACTACAAACAGACAACACACTTCACTACAAACAAACAACACACTACAAACAGACAACACACTTCACTACAAACAGACAACAC